CATCACTTTACATATTCCTACACCTCTGCCCTGACACAAAACAATAGCAACCAATCAGACAGCTGGATTCACACAAACAACTAACGCTGCAGCACCTTCCACTCACCACAGACGCAACTTCTACACAGAGAAGATGACAAATCCAAGTTAAAATCAGACAGCTAGGATGTACAATGTTAAACCTGCAAAGTTAAAGATGTACAAACCTGATAAGTACTGAAGCCAAAAACACAGGTTACTGCCATAGCAGACAGACCCAAATGAAGGTGACAGGAAAGTTAGATCAAACAGATGATGTGCGAAGACAAGGAAAAATAACACAGGAGTCTTAAACACCTAAACCTAATAATCCTGCGCTAAAGCACATTGCCACGATAGGCATGAAACATGCTTATGGTCTATTTAGGTCTTACCTGTAATGACTTGATGCACTGAGGTAACGTCCGTACAGGTGTCTGAACATAACTGGTACATCATTTAAGGTGGAACAGGAAATGAAGCTAACTTCAGCATCATCTAATCTCTATGCACTGTATGAGCCTCAGTTACAGTCAGTAAACTGGGGCTGTACCACTGAGTTGGGGCTTCTGGTTTAACCCCTAAATTACTACAGACATACACTTGGATGTAATATTTACAATTTGAGTATTCTTGTGCTGTGAGTTCATTCATTAGCTCACAGTAACCAGGCCAAAAACTTACCGGCCCACCGGTACCAGCCCACTCTCCTGATTTCCTGCTCTGGCACTGAGTAAAGCCATGGATGCAGGTTTTCTTTTCAGAAGCATCGTCTGCATTAATCACTAGCTCAATGCTTTCACTTTTTATGGATTCCATTGAGTCATCTGTTTATTTAACTTCCTTTTCACACGTGCTCACTGCTGGGGCCTGTAAGCCGTGAAAGTAGCCAATCACAGGTCCACTTGCCCCCCCTCGCCATCCCCTCTTCTACCTTTTGCCTTCCACATCCAGTAGGGAGCCAATTTGTGCTTCATTCAATTGCCTGATTAAAAAACACATAAATACCTAGATAGAGATGTTAGATGTTAGATGTTAGATGTTAAAACTAAAGTAACCAGCTTGTTTTGAAAATGTTGTGAGTAAAAAATACAAAATTTTCTTTTCAAATGAAGTGAGTAAAAGAAAAAGTATTAAGTGACAGAAATACTCAAGTAAAGTACACCTAAAAACCTAAAAAAGCCTAAGTACAGAACATTTACTTGTGCTTAATTACTTACCACCTCTGGAAAACAAGTGGAGTGTTCATATATCAAAATGGACTGAAGAAAAGGTTAGATAGGTCTGCACCAAACAAAGTAGGTGTGATGCATAAGAAATGTACAAACTGGTAAGTAGTAAATTCACATAAAATAACAAACTGTGAATAAACGTTTCTGCTGGATTAGTCAGCTGCAGCTCCTCTCACTCAATGCCAACTCACAAAGGCTTTATTGTTTGTGAAATTTACCTCCCATCTGAAATGGAGGTTGTGACTGGTTCTGCCAATACATTTTTTTTAGTTTTGTGCCTACAAAGTGTCCCATGCATTTTGGTTAGAGGGGAGATTTTCTTTTTTTATGAAAGCATCTTGAACTCAGAAAGTGGTGGGTCGTCACCCCAGTACTTTCAAAAGAGGGGGTCAAATGCCCGCTTGTCCTGTGCTTCTGATGGCCTTGGCTGCCCCCTCTGAAATTACTTGTGTTTTTTGTTGAAGTTCACTTCTTCATTCACAGCAGTCTAGGCTCTCCAACTGCAAAGTATGATGCTCTTAGGGCTGGTGGGGGGCATGGAGGGGGTTTGAGAGTTGAGTGCTCTCCTCAAATTCCTGATAAAGGAGGTCTGTGGTGTGTCTGGGTTTCAAACTTCTGATCTCCTGAAGACCAAACAATTAGACAGTGGCACCACTCTGGAACAGGTTTTGCACAGACAGAGAACTGCTTGTGCATAGAACAGTCAGCTTTGCTGAAATATGTTTACTTAAAGAAAATGTTTACATTTATTTGATGTTTTCCTTTCAATATGTTTTGAAAAAATTGATAACATGCACAACTGGCAAAAGCCCACCTGTGAAAGGGGTTTCTGATGTTTAGACTCTACAGAGACTACAGTTCATCTTTGCCAGCTTAACAAGCATCATTAGCTTAGTTATCCAACATCACACATTCTATTAAAGTGGTTCATCCAAAAGCATTGCTTTGTCTGGCTAGCTAAGACACATATCTGTATGACATCTCATCAGCTATAACTGATTTTAGCCAGCCACCTCTACTGGAGTGAGCTAGTTGGCTTGCAAGCATTGTAAGCATAGCATTCATGTATGTAACATTTATGTGTAATCTGTGAAGGTGGTTCATCGGAACCTTTACCTAGTGTCTGCATTCACTCCTGTTTGTTGTCTTTAAGCTCCATGTAAACACAGCTTTGGGTTTTGTCCTAGAACAGTCAAATACAGCTGAAGAACACAAACGCGCACACAGACGCACCCTTAACATTACCTGATTCTTAGGAACCCTGTGCATTACCTTTACTCTCAGCTAGCAGTGTTTCTCTTCTGTTAAGTGTGAGGAGCAAATATCCTTGAGGGATTTTTGGGAAGTTCCATCCTCTTCTCAAGAAGCTTCATAGGGAAGAATAACGATTTTGTATTCCTGCCCCATCAAACCACTAGCCTATATGGGTCAAGACGTATTATCTACTACACTCTTAAAACGTTCCTTAATAAAGAAAATGGTTCTATATCGAACCAAAAATGGTTCTGCTATAGTTATGATGTCAAGCTTGTAACAACAGAAGAACCCTTTTTAGTGCTACATATAACCCTTTTCAAAAAGGTCCTATACAGAACCATCTACAGCACATTCTCCATCAATCTGAAGAACCTTTTCACCAAGCAAAGAACCCTTTAATCATGCAAAGGGTTCTTTGAGTGTTCAAGGTTCTATATAGAACCATTTTCTTTACTAAAGAACCCTCGAAGAACCATCTTTTTAAGTGTGTACAAATTATTATCACGACCACTTTGAAACAAAAATGAATTTATATTTAGCAGCAGAAAAACTTCAGTGCTCCTTCAGCGCCTTACAGACTGCATTGTGTGAGCCTAAACTAGTTTTAAAGGCAAAGAAACAGGATCAAGCATTGACAGAGTCACTGAACTGACCTTGGAATATGGCTGGATGATAAATTCATGATCAAATATCATATCAATAAGCTAGTCCGTCAATGTAGGCAAACGCTCGAATGCTTGTACTGAAATGAGACGTGTTTCTAAAAGCATACTAGGAAAAGAACCATGGAGACAATCTTATTAGTCTTCCTCAACTATGGTGATGTAATCTATGTACATGCATCCACCATGTAGACCCTTACAGCACCCATCATTGCACACTGTATGAAAAAGTTGGTTGGGCCTTTCTAGCCATGTGGTGGGAAACACATTAGCTTGTAAGGATAATATGGCCATATGTCCTTTTACATCACAACTATGCTTTCTGTAAATAATGGTATTTATCAGACCTGCTCTACCTTTATTTGTTGGTACAGATTATTTGTTTATATTATGGTTTATTATTTTAATAGATTATTTTACTTCTTTAATTGTTTTTATAACATGGTTTTTGCTATTTTATCACCATTTTATCTCTATTTCTTTTTGAATTTATGTATTTCATTGTTTTATTCACTTTGTTTGATTTGTCGTTGATTTGTTTGTTTCATTTTTCAATTCAAATTCAATTTTTCATCTTTTCATTATTCCCTTTTTAACTTGCTTGGCCACATTATAACTGACGGTCACTCTAAACCTACTTGTGAGTCGAAATAAAGGTTGATTGGTTGATTGATTGATTCATAAGAGAGTGAGGAATGTTTAATATTTAACTCGATAATTAACTTGACTTATTCATCATGTATTAAACTTTATTACCAGTATTATGACCTGTATTAATACATAACTGAAAGTAGGTTTTGTGATAATAATTGCATTATTAGGTGCAATAATGCCCAACAAATACTTACTGATGACTTTGTTATGTGTATAATTGAGCGTGAATTATTATCTAAATTCACATCTTTGGCAGATCCAATTTAAATCCAATCCAAATTAAATCCAACCCTTATTAAATCCACTTTTTTGTTGTTTCATTCATCATTGTTTTAGTTAGGTCAAATTTAAGAGTGATCTGAACTGTTTTGCTTCTAGATGCTTCCATTTCACAACTATAGCACTTACAGTTGACCGGAGCAGATCTAGCAAAGCAGACGTTTCTGCATCCTGTGACAGTGCCATGTTTAAAGCTCTTTAATATGACCCATTTTACTGCCAGTGTAGAATATCAATCAAGACTGCAAGGCCATGTGCTTGATTTTGTTCACCTGTGTGCTATGAGTGTGGCTGAAACACTTGAACTCAATCTGGAGGGGTGTCCACATACTTTTGTATATATTGTGCGCCCACAAGAGCAGCCTACTCAAAAAGAAAACACAGATTTATGTTCCCTGGAACATTTTCAGATCTATATGTGAGAAGTTGACTTTGTGAGGATTACCTTCTGACAGCACCAACTATTATTGTTACACCGAAAGATGTTTTCAGTGAGCAGCGACCTGCATATGTCTGCATTTCTCCTTACTTGTGCTGTTGTGTTTAGTTTTCCTTTAGTGGTGTAGGAGGCTGGGAGGGTTGGGCTGAGAGCTGTCTAACACTGGTACTCATCAGAATATTAATCTCAGATTAGATCTCGGATAAGTCTGATATGGAATTTTTAAGCTGTCTTTTATTATATTGCTGGATTTTTTTTAATTCAAACTTTGCTGGATGTTTGACATAATGCTCAAATTTAATATCAGATATAACATTTATATTGTTTTAAAAATGTTCCTGTCAATCTTCTCACACAGATGTCAATAGCTGGAAGTCATGGAAAGTTTTGAGCAGGAACAGGTCTACTCAAAGCCACACCTCCATAGAACAGATACAGTAAGTATAAAGTTCAGTCTTATTTCTCCATCACACTCTCAACTTCGCTAATCCACCAACAATGAAGCCGCTGGTCACTCTGGTGCTCATCTACATGCTTTTGTCTGAAGGTACAGAATGTCATATCTAAATCCAATGGAATTCACTTAACCTGTTGATTGTTATTACAGATGTAATGCTGCTGTCAGTGTGCAATTGGAGTGTTTTTAAAGATGTTTTTCAGTGCAGAGATTTCTTTCCTTAAAGGTTTAGTGTTTTACTGAATCCTCTAGGAGTTACTAGAAGAGACTGTTAGTAAGTCGTTTGTGTCGGAACAAAACTTTGTATCTCCAAAATGGTAACGTTTTAAATACAATTTTTAATTTATGCAAAAAAATAAATAATGTAGCTGAAGTGTAATGTTGTGCAGAGTGTTACTGGGAATGTAAAGTTGAAATAATCATCAGTACTGAACGCTGCGGTCATCAACCAAAATGTACAATCTGTTACTCTAGCTGTTTTAGTTTTGGTTAATCTCATTATTTTTGTTTTGTTTTGTTTCCAATTTCTTTACTTTGCTTGTTTACCTGTGAAGCTTTTCAGACTTCCATGGCACTGAAATGTTACGCCTGTGTGAGCGTAGTTTGTACAACTCAGCAGTGTAAGGCTGATGCAGATCGCTGCTATACTGCCACAGGTGAGACAGAAAGCACAACCTCACCATCTCACTTTTCTGTTATTCACAAATTGTAGGCCTATAGTGGTATGCAAGTGAGCTCTTTGTGAGATCGGGCCTGTGTACTAATGTATTTACTGATGAAGTTTGCACACTTTCAGAAAAAAGATACAAAACTGTCACTGGGGTGGGACCCTCAAGGGTACATCTCAGTACCTTTAGTCAGGGAACATACTTGTACCATAATCCACAGAAATGATGTTTTTAAGCTGTATTGACTCCACACACCCCGTCTCGTCCCCAGGCTTTTTATTTTATTGTTGCATTTTAAAATTTTGGTTAAAGTGCCAAACGTATTACATAAGAAGTCTCAAAATGTGTTCAAGAGAAGTTTTTCACTTGAAATAATACCAACTACAATTAAAATTCCCAGGCAAACACTACTGATAAAAAGGGTTGTTTCCTCATTTACCCCTACCTGGTAGAAATATTTGTCCATTAGACAAATGCTCCTAACATTAACAGTAACAGCTGCTCCTAACAGTAACAGTCCCAACAATAACTGGGAATTGTATAAGGAAAGTCATTGAATACTGAATATCTGTTGAAGTGAATAGAACATCTTTCTTTTTATCCCAGTTTCAACAGTTGGCGTGGAGGTAACTGAGAAAGGATGTGCAAACAAGACCATGTGTGATGAGGCAGCAAGCTCTTGGATGCCAACCTGCTGTAACACTGATCTGTGTAACAGTGCTGAGGGGGTTAAGCTGAGTCTCCTCATCATGCTGGTTCCTCTGATCTCCTCCATCCTCTTCATCTGAACTCTCTGCTGCTCCTCTCTCAGTGATTGATTATATGTAGTATATGATGATTCGTTTCTAATGACATCATCTGTGCATCAATAAACCATGTGGTAAGAGGGGTGTAATGTAGTTTAGATTTTTGAACTTAAGAAATGAGAAGAATTCACTCCAGGTTTATCATAAAGCTCAAATAGTGCACATACTCTCCTTTCACTAATTATTTTAATGACAAATCAAAGTCAATGAATCCTGGTTATTTCATTTTAGCTGGAAAAATTAAGAGGCTTCACTCTAAGTGCAACTTAGTAGGCATACTGACCCTCTTCTGTTATTAATTTAATGATAAGTAGCTTAAGTATTTAAATGTACATCTGATTTCTTTGATAATAAATAATAAACTAAGTCTGTTTTCTGAAGAAAATGCAGAATGATTGTGCTTCTTAAGCTTGTTAAGATGTTGCTAGGCAGTTGCTATGCTATCTCAGGTGGTTGCTAGTGTGTTGCTAGACAGTTGCTATGGCATCCCATGTGGTTGCTAGATGGTTGCTGTGATATTCCACATGGTAAGGAGTTTCTAATGGACTTGTATCATTATGATTTAAGATGAACAGATTCTTGCCCCCATTTGGGGGGAAAAATCGCCATTTAATGATAATCGTACAAAAACAAAACAAAAAAAAACATCCAAAAAAAAGTCCTATCAAAATGCAGTACACAAGCACTCCGAGTCAGACTGAACATGATTTGAATGGTGATATATTGATAACAGTGGGAACAAACATCCAGCATAATAATAATAATAATAATAATAATAAGAAGAAGACGCAGAAAAAGAGGAATATAAATCAAATGATTAGTGTCACTAATAATGACAATTCTGAGGCCTAGTACTTTTATTTCTGCTGTGTATATATATATATATATATATATATGTTATAAGATCCTATCATAAATAAAGCCAAAGAAAAAGGTCACAAACGAAAATCCAGTGTTAGTACTATAGACTTTCTGTTACTGGCACTATAAGGCAAGAAATGTCTTTCCTCTAGTGCTGTATTGGTTTGTAGAAATCTCTACTTTCAATCTAAACAAAAGAACTGTTACACTGTCTCGTAAATCTGATGCAGAAGATTTAAAAGTTTTAGACTGGTGTAGTTTGAGTAGATTTGTGTTTATAAGTTCTAGGTATTAACCAGGAATGTGTGAGGTACAAACTTCAAAGTACTCTGTAATTATGTTAGGTAAAATGATGACATGTATCCAAGTCAGTCTAACTACATTACACCAAAAAGTTAATAGAGGTAGTTAAATATCTGATAAATAGTGGGAGAAACAAGGTGGTAGGTACAAATGTACTCACACTAAATTTCAGTAACAGATTCAAGTAGTTAGTGAGCTATATAATGTAAAATGAAGGCACAAAATACAAAGACTTTAGGAAGTGAAGGTTAAGGGCTCCAGTAAGAATAAATGCTTTCTTTTATATCACAGATTTATTTTTAATTATAGGTCATAGACATACACATAGACATATTATGTAAGACTCTTTATTCTTGTGCAATCTTTTAACATCAGATAATTACCCTGTACTGTTTACCCCAAATAATTACACAGTACTGTGGACATATTTACCACATATTTATCCAGTTAATACCTCGCCTCGGGTATTTCAGTGTAATTTAGTTAAACTGTCTCAAAACCTACCATCATATTACCCAAATTAATTACCTAGTATTTTTAAGATTTTACCTCACACTTATCTGGTTAATACTATAGGACTATATGAGATAGCATTAGTGTTTAACTTATGTAAAATAGCAAGCTGTATTAACATGAGGTGCAGATTCCTGTATTGATAAGAACTGTGTGTGTGATCTATATTAGATCCACATCAGATCCAAGTTATAGGATTCAGGACATTTGTAGCATATGACAGAACATGGCATTTGTAGCAAATAAACTCTCGCAGCTATAGGTAAAACTAGAAGAGAAACAATTTCATCTGGTAACGCTGAAAAAATAGAAAAGTTGCTGAGCACAGCCAGGGAGATGGTTGTTTTTGAAATCTTAAAAGGGTTAATATTCCAGGCAGTTGCAGTGGTGTTGCTGCAAGGTTCCTATGGTATTTCAGCTTGTTTTTAGGGTGATGCTTAGTGGTGGTTAGATGGTTGCTAAAGTGTTGCTGGGCTGTTGTTATGCTGTCCCACATGTTTGCTAATGTGTTGTTAGGCCATTGCTATAGTATCCACTATGGCTGCTGGTATGAGTGTATACACGTGTGGTAGTAAGTGAATTTGTATGTAGTGTCAGTATAAGAGATGTATTTGTGGCAGGTAACGTTGAGTTCTTCCACCTTTAACCCAATGTTTGTAGCTCAGTCTGAGTGTGCTCAAATCAATTTACAGTCACCCGAACAAATTGCACTTATAAATTGTATTTGGTGTGTAAAGGTCTTTTGTATTTCACCATTCATGTCCTATGGGAAAAATGGTATATGAAAACTGTAAATCTGATCAGTTAAAAAGCACAAGCATCCTATTTGGATGCACAGCCTACAAAGCTTCAAGGTTCTAGCATATGAAGAAAACATAGAACGGTTAATTGGCTTTTTCAAGCAAATGTAATAACACTTTACTGCTACAAATCATCATAACTTTAGGCCTACATACAGATTCAGGTGCTAAAGTCAACCTGCAGGGTTGCATTTAGTGTTAAATATTTTAATCAGGAAACCTTGTGACAATTTGAGCCATTGACTATAACCTTTGAAATTTCTCATAATAATAATAATAATAATAATAATGCCCTTTATTAATGTATTACTATTGTTGCTGTTATTCATACAAAGCAGTAATATGAACTTTAAACCTGTCTAGTCTCATTGAGAGTATGTGAAGTCTCACTAAGAGCGGAATCAGTCCATATTTTATCTTTGTGTAGTTCTAACTGGCTCTGGTCTTACCAGCAAACTGTATGGAGCAGGAGAACAGCGCCCTCTAGTAGATGAAATAAAGATTACATTAAAAAATGTAATACATCTTGTCCACTAGATGGTGATGCTCTCAGCTCATTGACTGGGCTGCCGCAGTTTGAGGGCTTAATGAGGAGTTGAAAATTCTATCTGTCTGTCAGTCTGTCTGTGTGTCTCTGCCACACACACTACACACACACACACACACACACTCAAACACTCGGTGTACAGCACAAACAAGTTTAGGCCTTCTTTATAGATGCCACTGTAGCGTTTTATCAATGAATCATACATTTTTAAAAAAAATATAAAAACAATTCTTTTTTATAATGCATTAATGGTCATTCATTTATACATACAAGTGAACACAGGTGAACTTAAAGAATTTATTTAGCTTGATTCATGATAATTAACCTTATTATCTCAAAACTTTTAAAAATTGTTAATTGCTCAGCTATGTTTAATCTGTGTAAGAGATAAGTTAAACGGACATAGTGCTGTAAGTTGTATTACTGTGTCTGTCTTAAATAATTGACTAAATTACTGATTAAATTCTAAGCTGGTGAAAGTACAGTAAACAAATTTGTGTCTTTACGATGAACATCAAACTATTCATTTTGGGCCAGGATGCTTAAGGGGCTCCTTTTTTGCCCCATATCTGGAGGATTTTTTTGCCCCAAAGGTGTAATCAGGGACCTTTCCGAAATATTAGGGGTCTGTGGTATCTTACAGTGTTGTGAAAAGGTATTTGCCCCTTTCCAATTTCTCCTATTTTTGCTTATTTGTCACACTTGAGTGTTCCAGATCATCAAACTAATTTTAATGTTAGACAAAGATAAAATTGACAGAAAAATGGTGTTTTTAAATGATGATTTTGTTTAATGAAGGAAAAATACTGTTCAGTCCTACCTGGCCATATGTGAAAAAGTAATTGCCCCCTTATCTACTAAATCAACCACTTGACCAAATTCAGTTGACTATTGGGTTAAGTTTTACTGGCCACACCTAGGCATGATTACTGCCAGACCTGTTGATTCTAAACATCACTTAAATTGTGTCTTTTTGACAATGTGAAGCCGGTTAGAAGGTCTCAAAAAGTCGCATATGATGTCATGATCTAAAGAGATTTAAATACAGCTGTGAAACAAAGTCATTGAAATCTACCATCTGGAAAGTGTTACACGGCCATTGCTGAGGCTCTGGGACTCCAGCAAACCACAGTGAGAGCCATTATCCACAAATGGAGAAACCTTGGAACAGTGGTGAACCTGCCCAGGAGTGGCCGGCCTACCAAAATTTCACCAAAAGCACCTCGATGACTCACAAAAGAACTCAGACAAACATTTAAAGAACTGCAGGCCGCATGTGCCTCTTTTAAGGTCAATGTACACAGTTCCATAATAAGTCCATCAGTTCGTGACCTTAAGCTCAAGCACATTTGGGTTATGCAGCAATGACAATGGTCAGACACACACAAGCAACTCCAGCTCTGAATGGATCAAAAGAAACAAAATTAAGGTTTTGGAATGGCCGTGTCAAAGTCCTGACTCGAATCCCATTGAGATGCTGAGACAAGACCTTAAACAGGCAGTTGATGCTCAAAAACCCTCCAATGTAGCTGAATTAAAACAATTCTTCAGAGAACAGCAGGTGAAAATTCCTCCACAGTGATGAATAACACTGCAAGTTATCGCAAATGTTTGATTGCAGTTGTTACTGATAAGGGTGGCACAAGCAGTTATTAGGTTTAGGGGGCAATTACTTCTTCACATGGTGATAAAGGTTTTGAATAAATCTTTATTTATTCAAATTTAATCAAATTTATCTTCAATAAATGGAATGATCTTTTGAAAGCTGCATTTTGTCTTTACTTGTGTTGTTTTTGTCTTATATTAAAATTAGTTGAATGATCTAAAACATTAAATGTGACAAATTAGCAAAAATAGAAGAAATTTGCTGATGGGCAAATAGTTTTTAATACTAATTTGTGCAACTTTGCCAACACAAGCGCAGTAAATCTTCTCCTTGATGAGATTGGAGAATTTAGAGCAAGGACGACTCCTCAATATAGAATTTCTACAGATCCTCCAGGGTCCTGTGTCCTCTCTGTAGAACTCTTTTAGGGTTTAGGTCAGAAGACTGGGATGGGCATGTCAAAAGATTGATTCTGTGGTCACTGAACTATTTTTGTATGGATTTGGATGTATGTTTTGGATCATTGTCCTGCTGGAAGAGCCAACTACAGCACAGATTTAGCATTTAGGCAGAGGCAGTCAGATTTTAATTTAGGACCTCATGGTACTACTATGATGTCATGATACCAAGTATCTTAAAATATATATCTAAAACCATCACAGATTCTTCACCATTCATAACAGTGGAGACAGGTTTCTTTTCTGTAAAACTA